GCCCCCGGGTAGCGGGGTCCAAGGGGCAGAGACCTTTCGTTCAAACTCGCACCTTTCTTCTTCTTGCGCGAACGTACGCGTACATCTACGCGAATGTTCATGTCCGATCACAAGGATTTTCGAGTCTATAAAATAGAGTCTCGTGGTATGGGTTGACAGATAGATTCTCGAGTGCTTGTTCTGAATTAACGTCTTATCCGATTGAAGTATTTCGTATACCCCGAAATAACTTTGATCTGAAAGCGTTTCGTACGCGATTCGTTATTCTATCGAGTTCTTCGTTTAACACTGCTTCGCAGTGTTCTTCCTTTTCTAAGTCCAACATTGATCATGTAGGAGATGAGTGTGCATTTGATCCCTTAGTTCACACGACATCATAGTTATCAAGGCGACTAGGCGACGCCGGGTGCTAGATTGTCTTCTAGTCGCTTGGGCGATTTGGCATTGCCTATGCATGTATTAGGCGAGTGCAATATGTTGCTAAACTGCTAACTATGTACGTATGTATGTGTGTGTGTCTATATGTGTGTGTGTGTACATAAAACGAATAGATCATATTTTCTATTTTTAAAAAAATAGAGTTCCCCGTCGCCCAAGGCCAGATTAGGCAAGAGGCGACCTGAGACGAGGCCAAAACGAGCGCCTCATCGCCTAGGCATTTTCAGGCTAGGCGACAAATACGGCATCTCAACAAGCACGCCCAGGCGCTTAGACGACGCCTAGATAAATATGCACGACATTTGCCCAGTACATTCACATCACTGAAACAACTGGCAATAAGAATTAACTAGAAGAAACTCTAACAGCTCCACAAAAGTACTGTTTGCAGCCATTCACAGCCATTCAACCCGAAAAAGCTAAATTTTCATAAATCATGTGAAAGGGTCGAGATAAAAATTGGAAATAATGTAAGAGCTATAAGCATGAAAAAGATTGTGTCACAATTTAACATCATTTAATATAATAAAGGAGACTCGGATGCATAGAAATTCGACATTTGGCATGTCTATGTGACAAAATTTAAACATGTCAGCATGCCACGTAATATTCGAGTAAACAAGCGGAAATAAATTATATACGATGCACCAGTGGATCTCCCGAACCGCAGATTTTCTACGCGATAATTACTAACCTTCAACAAAAAAATTTCCTTCAGATTACAACAATACGAACTCCTATTATGATGATAATATAAAATAATAAAAGATAAATATGAAAAAATATAAATGCTATTTAAAAAATAAATATAATATTTTTAATTTAATTTAAATAGAATTTTAGGACCATGCTACATATATTAATCCTTTATCTTACTTCCATATTTAAAAATTACATACTTAAATTAATAAGTTACAAAGGTTTATTATGGAAATTCGTGTATAATAAGAGTTAAAATCAATAGAGTATCTATATTAATGGAAATTAGAATATTATTTTTTACAAAAAAGATTATTAAGAAATAATCCTAAATAATACTAAATTTGAAAATGATGATCATGAGTATATTACTCATCACCTTACTTATATTATGTATGCTAGATAATACTAATATTATTTTAGATCCGTTTACTTATATATGAAAATCCTTAATTATGTGTCTTGGATAATCAATAATAGTATATGTTAATATATGTTTTCAGATTACAACAATACGAACTCCTATTACACGGATAATATAAACAATTAAAAATAAATACGAAAAAATATAAATACTATTTAAAAAATAAAAAAGAACTATAATATTTTTCATTTAACTTTAGTAGAATTTAGAACCATGCTACATATATCAATCTTTTATCTTACTTCAATATTTATAAATTTCATACTTAAATTAATAAGTAACAAAGATTTATTAATGGAAATTCGTGTATATATAGGTTGAAATCAATAGAGTACCTATACTAATAGAAATTCTGATACTATTTTTGATTCCTTACTTATTTGTCTTACTTCCATTAGTATATATCATTGATCACCTTACTTATATATGGTCATTAACAAAATTTACAAAAAATCTTATTAAGAAAAAATCCTAAAATAGTACTAAATTTGTAAATTATGATTACGAGTATATTATTCATCACCTTACTTATATTATGTATCTTGGATTATACTAATATTATCTTCGATCTCTTTTCTTATATATGAGGTTAACAATGTTATACATAACTCTTTTCAAAAAGCATGCGAAGCATTGGGGTTATTAGCCGATTATAAAGAACTCATTGAGGGAATAAAAGAGGCTGCTGAGCTAGGATCTAGAAGTCAATTAAGAAAGTTGTTTGTCACATTGTTAGTGACAAATACCATGAGTCGTTCTCAAGTGTTTGGGAAAAAACATGGGAGCTCTTAGTTGATGGAGTTTTATTTGATTGAAGAAGAATATTGCGTAATCAAGGTATTTTTATAAAAACTTATTTTTTTTATTATTTATATAAACATTAATATGAAATGAATGGTATTTATACAAAACTTTACAATTGGCATCTTTGTCGAAATAATTTAGTCTAATATTAACTTTTTTTGCAGAAATTTCTTACCTCCCCAAAAGATCTAAAGAATTTGTGTTTGATTGAGAATGAAAAGTTACTTAATTCAAACGGTGGTATGCCATTTCCAGATGACAACCCACTCAATAGATTTCAAAATAACTTCTTGGTAGAGGAGTTGAACTATGATAGAGAAAAATTGTCATCTGATCTGAGACAATATTTATCTACCATGAACGAAGACCAGAATTAATAAGATATACGACGATATAATGGAAGTCGAGGTAGCTAAAAAGGAGGTTTCTTTTTTGTGTATGATTACGGGGGAACCGGAAAGACCTTCCTCTGGAAATCATTATACGCTTCTCTTAGATTAAAAGGGAAGTTTGTTCTGAATGTTGCATCTAATGGGATTGCATCATTGTTATTGCCTGGCGGAAGGACTGTACACTCTAGATTCTCAATCCCATTGGTGCTAACTAAGTGTTCAACATGTGCTATCAAAAAAAGGAGCCCGAAATGAGAGATATCATGAGGTTCTGTAATGCCAACTACAGAAATGAACCATTTGGAGGGAAACAGTTACACTCGGAGGTGACTTTCGACAGATCCTTCCAGTTTTACCCAGAGCTTCAAGAGAGGATATTGTAGGTGCTACGGTCAATTCCTCACATTTGTGATCGTAATGTAAAGTTTATACGTTGACCAAGAATATGAGACTGCATTCATCCACGTCTTCTTGTACAGATAGGGACACACAAACTTTTTCTGATTGGATAATCAAAATGGGTGATGGAATGCTAGGTCAGGTGATGGATGGAATTGGTGATGTTGAGATTCCACCTGAATTCTTAATTCTTGATACAAGTTCTCCTATAAAGAGTATAGTGGACTTCACTTATCCAAATATATTAGAAAATATGAAAAATTATTCTTTTTTTAAGGATAAAGCATTATTCGCACCATTATTTAAGGATAGTTGAAATGATAAATGAATTTGTTCTGTCCCTCATTCCAGGTCATGAAAAGGAGTACTTGAGTTCTGATTCTTCGTGCCAAGCAGAAACAGATGTAGGTGTTGATGGCGATTAGATAACAGTTGACTTTTTGAACAAAATCAAATATTCGGCAATCCCAAACCACAAAATAGTCTTGAAAAATGTGTACTGATTATGCGATTGAGGAACATTGACCAAACATCTGGATTATGTGATGGGACAAGATTAATCGTTCAAGAGCTGCGAAATAATGTTATCGGTGCAATTGTGGTTTCGAGAAATCGAGTCGGGGAAAAAGTTTACATTTCTAGAATGAATTTGGTATCATCTGATCCAGGGCTACCTTTGAAGTTTCAAAGAAGACAAATCTCGATCGCCATATGTTTTGTTATGACTATCAACAAAAGTCAAGGTCAAACGTTGTCATTTGTGGGATTAGTTTTAACCAAGTCAGTGTTCACACATGGTCAACTATATGTTGCTGTTTCACGAGTGAAGACAAATACAAGATTAAAAATATTAGTTCTAGATGATAATGGAAACTCTTGCAACCATACCAAAAATGTTGTATACCCTGAAGTCTTTTAGAAAATTTTGTATTGAAATAAACATTGTTAACTCTACATTTTGTTCCTTAAATATTATTTATTTTACTTAGGTTTTTTCATTTGTATTATTAAAAATCATGCGAGCAATATATTTTCTTTATTCCAAAAAATAAATTTCATTGAAATAATTCAGAATCGACATAAATTTCTTTTGACCCCGTGCATGGCACGGGTCATAATACTAGTAAATCATAATAAGATTGTATAATGGCTTCACAACCACTTGATCACTACTGCAACAAAATAAAACAGAGGGGCAGGGGGATTGACACACTGTTCTGAGTTTAGGCTACATTATTGTCATAATTTCAATTTAATTTATCATCTTTTAGTTATTGTTGAGTCGTATTGAGTGTTTTGGTTAGTGTGACCATGTGTATTCGACAAACATATATACATATTGATGGATTAGGGATTTTTCCTAATCCAATATTATTTGAACAGTACAAGAAAGCCCAATTTTATCTGGCCCAAGATATAAATTAGATAAATAATTCAAGACAGAACCAGAAATATATGAACAGAAGAATATATTTGAAGTGATGTGGAGACATTTGGCGGGACCCGTGGAACACTACCACATGAAAACCACATGCCGCGCATGGGCTTCACATGGACAATGTCACTTCTTGTCTCCACCAATTATTCCCTTTCCCCCCTTTAAATGAAGTTACGAAGAGAAGGGAGGGGAGGCCAAGGCTAGATTCCTACAAGTTCCTACTACTATATTCTTCATTCTTCTTCTTCTTTTAGCTTAGAGCTCCATTAAAGACTCCAAGTTCCTACAATGATGTATATGTAAACTCCCCCGAGATTAATAAAAGTTCCTTCCCCTTTGGCATGGCACCGCCTAAAAAGGCTCGTGGTTTTCTCCCGATTTGGGTTTCCACGTATAAATACTTTCTCTCCGCTTTGTTTATTTATTTAATTTCCGGATTTCGCTGTTCGGTGCGGTGCCGACCCGGTACCGATTTCATCGGGTCGACGCCCCGAAAAAGCGGTTTCCATCACATATGCTCCTCTTTCCTTCCATATTTCCAAGCAAGCTAACACTTCTTCGTAATATATTGTGTGAAGGCGAGATATGATACAATCAGACATGGGTGGCTCAGAGGGTGTGCAAAAGTGGCCAACCGCACATGGCCCTAAAATTTTAGGGCCTTATATTTTTAAATTTAATAATAATATTCGAGCAAAAGTATTCTAAAAAAGTATAATATGGCCCAAAATGTAAATTTTGGACAGGGCCAATTTTATTTTTTCATTTTTCGGGGCCGGCCCTGCTAAAAAATCAGAGCAGGCTAAAGTTCAAGCCCCTAAGAAAGTTCTACTACTCCCTCCGTCCCATGAAACCTTTCTCCTTTCTTTTTTAAGAAATCACCCTACATAGCATTCTAACTCACCCTAAATTACGCATTTAGCACTACTCATTGTTTTTAACAAACATAGCAATTTATGGTGTCAATCCTTTCCTATCATACCCTTTACACCTTTTTCTGTTTTTTCATTAAAAATTACGGCATTCAACTCCAATCTCTCCTTCCGTTCTCTCACACGCTATTGAACTCCACGGTCTCTCCTTCCATTCGCCGGCGATGATGCGTCCTCAGTCCTTCGCCCATGATTCCTGGGCGATTAGTAGTGGCAATCTTTGATGTCGCTAATCATTTTCTCTTCTCCTTCAGTTTTTAATTTTCATTCCTTCATCCTTTCATTCGGATTTCCCTGTATTTTTAGTATTAATTATTGTGTTTTCTTCATATCAAAGATTAGGTGTATGTTGTGAAATCAATTTTGAAATACCAAGTATTTGTCCCTTTTGAAAAATTAGGTCTTTTGAAAGGCATTGTAATTTTGGCGTGTGTGAGGATTATGTGTTATGGTGTGGAAAGTGTGAAGATTAAATGTTAAAATTTTGTCTTGCATCCTTTTATTCGGATTTCGCTATATTTTTAGTTTTAATTATTGTGTTTTGTGGCAGTGTAGATATATTCACTGTTACATATATAACACCGTCACATAAAGTCTGTAACTTAAAAACCGTCACATATATAACACCGTCACATATTCAGACATTGAATTTTTGGCAGTGTATATATTGTGGCAATGTATTTCAGACATTGAATTTTTGGAAGTACATATTGTGGCAGTGTAGAGAGTATATATTGTAGTGTATAATTACCATAAAAAAAATAAAAGGTCACGGCTTAAAATGAATTCTGCTCTTTTTTTTTTGGCAGTGTTGTATGTGTTAGGGCACTACATTCAATCTCAAACATATTGTGGCAGTGAAGAGCAGAGAATTTCATACTTATTTATAATGTGGCAGTGAAGAGTATACATTGCAGTATAATTCTAATTTTGGGAGTTTATTTGAGGACAAAAACGGGAATTCATCCCAAAAACTAATAGCACTGCTATTTCGAGTATTATAAGGCTATTAAAGTGCTATTTTCGTATTTCTCCCTTCTTTTTTTTTATCCGTCCCACAAAACACTTCTCATTTCTATTAAAAGTCACTTTTACCCCTTACTTTTTCATACCCTAACTATCACATCATACATTTTTACTAATAATCTATCCATCAAATCATACTTTTACACATCACATCAAAGGATATTTTTGGAAATTCAATACCAAAATACACTCCCCTTAAATCCATCCTAAAAAGCAAAAGTCCCGACGGAGGGAGTAGTTCATAAAAATACTCCGTATATATTTAGAGTAGGCGGGATTTTAAGTGCTATAGGCTATATCTCGTGAGGCGGAAATTATCCTAATGCTCCGTGGACCCATTGCCGCAATGAGTACGTTTTGTTTTGACAAGTAAATGAAGTTTTGTTTTATTTTATGTCAAGTACTCAAATTCTGGTTTTGTTGAATACATGTGCGTTGAAGTATCCCCTATAATTGATGATAGTAAGGTTGTAAAAATGAACATATGCTACGGGATATCTTTTTCAAATTTTGCAACAAAACATTGGCCAAATAGCTCCGGTGCTCCTATGATTTGGAAAATTGCATTAATACCTCCTCTATTTTCAAAACTTATTTTTAAAGTCCCCGTAACTTCAAAATACTGCACCCGTGCCCCCTCTGATAATTTTCCGACAATTTTCCGGCGAAGAGGAGGCATTTGCGCATAATTTTTAAACCATAGGAGGTATTCGTGCTCATTTTTTATTTTTCGTTTATTATTTGTGTTTTCCATTTTTTAAATATTTTCTATCTCTTTTTCCTTTTCCTAGATTTTTTTCTAATTTATTTTCAATTTTTTATAATGTTTTAAAATTTTTAAAATTTTTTGTGTTTGAAATAAAAATAAAAATAAAAAAAATTAACATACATTGCATCTATTTGAAATTAAACATTTTCACTTTTTGTCACGTACTTATTTGGAAAGTTCAAAAAGAAAAACCTAAAATAAAAAAATAAAAAAATGGAAAAATAAAATGAAAAATAAAAATACACAAAAAAAAGTCTGATACAAAAAAATGGACAAGCCTAAAAAAGTCATTAGAATTGAGATGTTCAAAAAAAATATTCATTTTTATTTTTGTATTATTTTGTTTCTTATTTTATTCCTCATTTTTTTGAAATTCTTAAAAAAAAGTTTACTTTTTCAAAAAAACAAAAATTGTTGATTTGAGAAGTACATATACATTATATGTTAATTTTTCAAACCAAAATAACTTTAAATTTTATGAACATTATAAAAATAATTTTGAAAAAACTTTTATTAATAAAAGAAACAAGTAAAGAAAAAAATGAAAAAAGCGAGAAATAAATATCAGCACCGATACCCCATGTGGTTTAGTAAATATGCACCAATGCCCCCCTTCTTCGCCAGAAAAATGGTCGGAAAATGATCGGAGGGGGCACGGGTGTAACATTTTGAAACCACAAGGACTTTAGAAATAAGTTTTGAAAACAGAGGAAGTTTTGGTGCCTATTTTGCAAACCACGGGGATACTGACGCTATTTGGCCACAAAACATTCTGTCAGACATTACAAGCTTGTACTACATAAAGAGGACACACAATGGAAAGTTGTTGAATGGAGTTGTATTGGAATTAAAAATTCCCAAATATAATTTTTTATTTTATTTCAAAGTTAGAACGCCCGCCTCGGGCACCCCCACACCCCGACCTGACAGGATTTTGAGAGATATAAATAATGGTATAATCTCATTCTGGTCTTCAAAGAGACCGCCCCGTGCCATTTTATTTTATTTCACAATTCCTAAAATCCCCGTTAGGGATAGTCTAAGGGGGGAGGGTGATCAAAAATAAGAGATTAAACAAAGAAAACTTGTTTTTTATGCGCCCCTATTACATCTTGTTATCATTGTAGGATATGGTACCAATGCTTTCTTTTTGTTGCTTCCATCTACCAAAGACATGGGAGGGTCAGATGGGCATTCACAATTTAACATAAATAACCATAAGACTTTATAATGGCTTCACAACCATTGGAGCACTGCAATAAATTACCAAAACAGAAAACAAAATAGAGCTTATCTATTTAGACTCACAAACCACATAGGACCATGTGCAGACACTAATTCCCCAGCTTCTGATCTCCGTCTACCTGCAGGGTAGCAACGAAAAAAAAGGGTATAATCAGATCATTTCATAACTTCATGTAGGCTATAATTTCACAGAGGAACATATTGATTTCTACCATAGGTGCCTCCCTAAACTGAAAAATCTCAACCTCGCCACCTCGAATAGTTCGAAACAGTCTGGCTTGATAAGTTCCTAGTTTTCCACATTCCATAGCGGTAAAGGTGGCGAAATAGAAACGAGAAGTATTTATAGCCGTATTTGCCTTAATAAGTTCCACAAATTCAAGACTTCTTCCTTTCTGCAGAGTTGTGGCTTTTGATCAGACAAAAGAAAATTTTCAAAACCAGCTTCTTTGAGGTCCCGTTTGGTACATAGAATTCAAACTATGGAATTGGAATTGGGGACAACAATTCTAATTATATTGTTTGGTAGCACAAAAATATGAGAATTTAGAATTGGTAGTGCCAAAAATGAATTGGAAGTGGAGAATCCAAATCAATTCTATAGAATTTCAGCTCCAATTCAATTCCAATTCCTTCAATTCTGTGTACCAAACATATCCTGACAAGATATATGACATAGATAATAAAAAACAATAAACCTTTTCCCTGAGATATGTAATCAATCTTTGTACAGCATGGACGCAACCTTCATATAACCTTTTGCCAGGTTCCAGAGGGATCTGTTCGAGGAGACCCATCGTGAAAGGATAATAATAGAAGGTAGTGATATCATAACCCTAATTAACGAAAACACAATCAAACATTGGAAATCTGTATTCGCTGATGAAGGTGAAAGATGAAAACTCACATCACTAGCCAGAAATTCCTTTCTGTATTGTCTAAAGGTTTTCTCATCTTCGGAATCGGAGAAATCTTGATAATCGCCAGGAGTGTTCATGTCTTCGCAACCACTGTATTCCACAATGGTTCCCAAAGGGTCCTTGAATGAATCAACAATACGGACACCCGAATCTTCGTCGGACATCTCTCCTTCGCCTTCGACGCCAACCTCCTCCGCCGGCTTCATCGAATCGCAAATTATTAAATCCGAAAAGTCCATCGCTAGCCCCATGGCTTGTGATCCTAATTCTCCTGAAAATTTGAGCTTGGAATTTTATTACTGCTTATATGAGTTGTATCCTCATTCTCAGCAAGGACCAATTTGGGCTCGGATTATGCTACTTCTACGGTTTGTACCCCAATTTGTAACCCACAGTTTTGCACCAACACTTTGTGTTGGTGTAAAACTAATTTTTGTTAAACGCACCAACATTTGTGTCTGTGTGAATTTTTATTAACGCACCAACACTTGTGTCAGTGTAAATCATCGAAATGTTTATGCAAACATGTGGTGTACAAATGGGGTATATTTTTTAGTGTAAGTGTAGCATGGTCCATTTGGGCTCTGTTCGATTGAAGTTCTATTTTATTCGGATTTAAAGCTAACTTTTTATTAGAATACTTATAAAAAATATTTGCACTAAATAGCACTAAAACTTAAGTCATTTCTCTAATAATAATTATATTCATAAAATTAGTAATAGTAATAATAGTGATAAGAATAGTAATAATAATAACTATAATAATAATAATAATAGAAATATTGATAATAAAAGTAATTATAATAATATACTCCGTAAGTAATAATAATAATAATAATAATAATAATAACAATAATAATAGAAATAATAATAATAGAAATATTAATAATAATAATAGTAGTAATAACAATAATAATATAAATATTAATAATAATAGTAATAATAGTAATAATAATATTAGTAGCAATGATGATGATGATGATGATGATAATAATAATAATAATAATAAGAGTAATCCTAATAATAATAGTAATAATAATATTAGTAGTAGTAATAATAATAGCAATAATTATAATAACAACAGTAATAATGATTATATTCATAATAATAATAATAGTAATAGTCATAATTACAATTGTAGTAATAAATATAATAATAATGATAATTAACAATAATGATGATAATAGTAATAATAATAGTAACAATAATAATATTGTTAACATTAATAGTAATAACAACAACAGTAATAATAATTATGATCATAATATTAATAGTAATAGTAATAATAATACTAACAATAATGGTAATAATAGTAATAATAATAATAGAATAATAATATTAATCTTGTTAAGATAAAGTCTGATCTGATTTCATTTAGTTTGATCTGATCTAATTTTAATAAAAATAAGTAATAAGCAGAAAAAATAAGTTGAACGAGATATTGCCTTGGACTTAGACCTAGGCCTATTTGGCAGTAAATTTCAATTTTTTTAAAGCGGGCCATGTGTTTTGATGGCATGATAGGGGTTTGATTGTCTTCATGTAGGCGCAATGTGACATGCCCCTTACTTGTAGATATGTAATGGCCAGAGGCTTGAATAATTTTTTTGTGTTTTTTGTTTTGTAGATAATGTCTTTTGTAAACCTAAAAATCAAAATATTAGTCTAAACATAATTCAAACTAAATGCATTCATACGAGAAAACAATTGCAATAAAGAAAAATACAACGATAAAAAAATAATAGGAGAAAAAATAACAACGAAAAAATATAACAACTAGTTGCCCGTGTTCCATTTTGCCCATATGGTCACCTTCGCCTCCTCGGTGCCTTCTCTAGAGCATCTGGTTAAGTGACCCGTTGGAGTCCACAACATGCACATTTCTATGTTGTATTGTTTTTCTAGTTAGAGAGAAACACACATTTTCATGTACGTTGATATCTCGTCCAGCTTCTCTTCCAACTTCCAACTCTCCGAGAATGTTGAACGTTTTCCTCGGTTGTTGCGTCTGGGGGCAACGAGGTTCCAAAAGAGGGATGTACTCCTCCTCAGCTTCATTGGAGTTGTTCAAATTTATTTCGACTCGAGAGGAGGAATGTCCCAAAACCACATTGGTTGACGAATACGTCTTAGACCGTTTTGAGACTTAAAGTCTCGAGACGGTATGCCACTTCTTGGATTCCAGCATGAGTTTCCATGCCTTGATACTCGTTAACACACCCCACTCACGAGCGTATTGGGCCAAGGAATCGCTCATAACATGTGTGTCGCTTTGGACACTCCTCCGGGACCTATTCACCTCGTTCCAAATACTGTAAAGTTTTGAAACCTTTGCTTGCGTGTCTCACCATTTACTTGAGCTCATGTCGTTGGTGCGGTATTGGCCGCGACCCATCTCCTCGATCAAAAGCTTGACCCCGAACGCAAGCCCGAAAATCTCAGGACATTTGATTACACCCTAAAAAATGGAATAAAATTAAAACTTGTTAAAAAAGAAAAGTTTTAAATACAAAAGAAATAAGCGTACGAACCAAAGAAAACACTACAAAGGATGTTATTGACTCAACATATTTCTAGAATTCTTTGATAGTATGTTGTATTTTAGGGTCAAATCCACCACTTGAGGAAGTAAAAGGTTATGTCAACCATATATGGAAAGCCCATCCTATTGATGATGTGGAAGTGCTGAAGGATGGGAAATTCATAGTCACGTTTAATAAGGAAGATGATATGAAGGGAATCATATCAAAAGGAGGTATTACTACTTTTATAATAAACCAATTTTAGTCCAACAATAGAAACCAAGAATGAAGATTAATTTTGATGACATGTCAGACATCCCAATGTGGGTATAATTCCCTGACCTGGATGTGAAGTATTGGAGCCTCTCTAGATTGAGTTAATTGGGTAGCTTTATTGGGTAACAAATCAAAACGGACAAAGCAACTGCAATGAAAACTAAATTTGCTTATGTTAGAATTCAAGTCGAGGTTATGGTATCCCTACATTTTCTTTTATTTTAAGAAACTAGGGCACCTATAAGACACATGTAGGAAGAAGGAAGCTAGAAAGCAAGAGGACAAACCTAAAAGAGTTATGTGGAGACCAAAGCAAAATAAGGAAGCTCAAGTGGATGCGAACTGGTTGAGAAAGAAGTATCAAATGAGAAAACTCAGGTAGGAAATGTGAGTCACAAAGAAGACCCTCCAAATGATGAGGAGTTTACAACAGTTGATGAGAAGAAAATAGCTAGAAGGATTCCAATGGATAAAGAGGAAGGTGACTTTATGAGTAGCCTCCATAAAGTATTAGAGAAAGCCCCTTATGAGGGGCATTACCCCTTCCTAAAATGATAAGATGTTGGAACATAAGAGGGCGGAATAGCCTTAATAAACAAGAGGAAGTCATATTCTTCCTGAAAAAGAATAATTTTTACCTATTTGGGTTATCGAAAACTAAAATAAAAATGGATAATTTTTGTAGCATGGAGAGGAAGGTTTGTCAGGTTTGGAACTTTTTTATCAATAACAATGTTCATCCCCTGGGCAGGATATGGATTCTAAAGGGCAAGTTGTGGATAGGAAAACTGACATTGCACAAGTTATGGTGGATTACTTTCAGGGTCTGCTGGGTGAAACAAAGTGGACAGAAGTTAGAGTTATATTATTGGTGAAGGTGAAGTGCTCTCAGTGAAATAAAAAATTCCAACTTATTGCTCTTATCACTATACATGAAGTTAAGAAATGTATGTTTGACATTCCAAATTGCAGAAGCCCGGAACCAGATGGTTATAGCAGTGACTTTTTCAAACACCAATGGAGTGTGGCAAAAGAACTTGCTTCTAAAGCTGTTCTGGTGTTTTTATGAGATGTGGTTACTCTTCAACAGATCATCCATACCATTATTTGCCTTATCCCTTGTCAGAATATAAATAACTGTTCTTGGGCCACAACCAAGCTTGAGCTTTTGGTTGAGTAGGTTCCTTGACATGGTGTCAGAGCCTTGATGACCAAGAGGTCACGAGTTCGAAACTCACCCCCACCCAGTTTAAAAAAATTTAAGGTTTCACGTGCAAGGCTCGAAAAAGACTACGTCTGCACGTGAGGGAGCGTCTGGGCCACAACCACAAGCTTGAGCTTTTGGTTGAGTTGGTTCCTTGACATCCCTAAGGTTGGCTGTCAAGAAAATCCAAGTGACTTCAGACCTATAGCATGCTACAATGTGATTTATAAGGTAATATCTAAAATTATTTGTAGTAGGATAAAGGTGGTTGTTCCCTATATTATCATTTCCAATCAAAGTGCCTTCATAAAAGGTAGGGAACTGGTGCATAATGTTTTCCTCTATCAGGAGTTGGCTAGAGGATATAGTAGGAAGGGTATCAGTCTAAGATGTTTGATGAAGCTGGACTTAAGAAAAGCCCATGACTTAGTTGAAAAGGCCTCTCCTAAATTATGGAGCCATTGAAGTTCCCAGAGAAATTCATTACTTGGATTCATTATTGTGTTACAATTGTAGCTTAGTCTGTATAGCTTGATGGTGAGGTTTTTGGCTTCTTCAAGGGAGGAAGAGGAATCAGACTAGGGGATCCAGTTTCCCACCTTTTATTCACAATTATAATGGAATGTCTCACAAGGACTTTTAGCCCCTACTCAAAAAATGACTATTTCAGGTATCATCCAAGATGTAAGGCTCTTAAACTTATCAATATAGTGTTTGTTGAAGATTTAATAGTGGCGTGCAAAGCTAATCTTTGGTTTGTTGAATGCATTATCTCTAGTCTTGATCACTTCAAGAACACAACTGGACTACATCTAAATTATGATAAGTCTCAAGTGTTTGTTGGTGGTGTAACTGGGGAATGCTATAACACCACACCATAGAGAAGAAAAATGTCTAAAGGAACCATCCCTTTTAGATATTTGGGAAGTCCCATATCTGCATCTCGCATCAGTGAAAGAGAGTGTGATAAGATAATGGAATGGATAACTCTAAAAATCTCTTCTTTTTCTACTAAACACTTGTTTTATGCTAGAAGAACAAAACTGATCAACTCAGTATTATATGGTGTAGTGTTTTCTGGAGCAGACTCTTAGCTTCTTGTTACTTAATACTGTTATGAAAAAAATTATGGCCCTTTGAAGGAACTTTCTTTTGCGTTCCACACTCAAGTATAAGAAAAGTCTCCCTAAACAAAAAGGTGGATTGGGATTGAAGAACTTGAAGCTATGGAATCAGGCATGCATCATGAAGCTTATGTGGATATAGCTAATAAAAAGGACTCGCCATGGGTCAGATGGGTTCACAACAAATATCTCAAAAGCAATTCTATATGACATTATGTTATAAAAGCTGATGATTGTTACTATTAGAAGAAAATGATCTAAAACAGAAGATTATTCCTGGGCATGAGTATAACTAATAGCTACAACATAAAGGATGGGTATAACTAGCTAAACGGTACACATGAAAAGGTAGAATGGGATAACCTTTGAAAAGCGAACAATAAACCTTTGAAAAAAGAGGAAGACATTTGTGAAACGACAAAAGCTAAAATCTCAAACCCGGCAAAGAAGAGATTGAAGAAGTAGAGTTGGCAAATCGGCCGGTCAAGTCAGATTTGAGTTTAGTCACTTCAGGTTCGGGTTGAGAATTTTATGTTCATGACCCAATGTCATCGGGTTCGAGTTGGCCTAAGAGGTTATGAATTTGGTTTTTTAAATTTTTAGAATCATATTAACACTTGCATCTTGCATTGAATAAATTTAAAGTATCAAAACATATGTACTAAATATATTAGATTATTTTATTTTAAATTATAGAGTAATTTTTAGATATATAAAATAAATATAAGAATTAGAAAATGCATAAGTTTTGGAAAAAATAAGAAAATTATGCAATATCATTAAAATTTTGTCCAAAAATATAAATTTATATACTAAAAACTAGTACTCCCTCCGTCCGGAAATATTCTTCCCGTGTTGATTTGGCACGCTTATTAAGGAATAGCAAAAAAATGCAAAATTTTCAAAAATGCACATACTATAAACTTTTAAATCTCCTTTTATTATTAAAAAAGTACTAAAAAGTAGATTTGTGATAAAACAAAAGGGTATTATTGAAATTTATCTTTCAAAAGTATACTAAAAAAGGAAATGAGAAGAATATTTTCGGACGGACCAAAAAGGAAAGTGGGAATAATATTTCCGGACGGACCAAAAAGGAAAGTGGGAAGAATATTTCCGGACGGAGGGAGTACTAAGAAAAAAATATGATTATAACTTTATTTTTATAACATTATATTTAATAGTAAAGTATATAATTTTGAAAAACTCTTACATTAACGGGTCGGAAAAATCCTTTTCATTTTCTTTTCCTTCTATTTTTCTTTTCTTTTCCTTTCTAACCAAACAAGAAAACTTATTTTCCGCTTAATTTTTTTTCTTTTCCCTATCGAATTCCTTGAACCAAACATAGTGTAAGAGGAGGAAAAATCAGATTCCTCCAATTTTGGGGAAGAAAATGAGACAACCCATTTTTTTATTTTCCTTACAAATACCTTGAACTAAACACAGTTTTATAGATTTGTAGAATAGCACAAGGTATAATGATCATTATAAAGTGCTTTATACTATTCCCTCTGTCCCATCTTATATTGCATATTTGAACTTTGCCTCATAAATAAAGTATAAAAAAATTAGGGGCAACCTTCCAAAAATACCCTCAAGCTAAATTAATTGAAAAGGAAGGAGAACATCTAAGGATAGGGGGGTTCATTTATAGGTTTGGACCAGAAAAATCAATCGAACCGGATCGATTGATCCAGACCAAACCCAAACCGACCGGATTTTGGGTTTCCATCCAATCCAGTCATCACCTGATTATAAATTGGTTCAGACAGCAGAAAATTACTCGCGGGTGACGCTAGTTTTGTCGAAATAACTTTCAGGTCCCTCTATTTTCAAAAAGACAACCGAGGTCCTTATATTTTGTTGTAATGACTGTGAGGGGACATTTCATCCAATACATCATCTGTAAGTGTTAATAAATGTATTTTTTTCCTATTTTTCCAATATCGTTTTTTTTCTATTTTGCCATTAACTTGTTTTTTCTTTTTTTTTAATTTTTTTTTTCATTTCATTTGTTGTAATATAATACAAACGATTTTGAATTTTTATACGATTTTATAGAAGAAATTCTAAAATAACACTTTAAAAATAGTAACAAAATGAAAGAAAAACAAAGAAATAAAAAAAGGATCGACCTAAGATTTATTACCCTAAAACATTTAGAAAAGAATAGGAAAAAAATGCATTTATTAACATTTATAGATGAAATATTAAATTAAATGTCCCCTTCCAGTCATTAGAACAAAATGTAAGGAACTCTGCTGTCTTCTTAAAAATAAGTCAATAAAACTCTGGCTTGACAGAGAGATAGACCGATAACCTCTTTATTTCTAAATTTATGTGTTCCGTTCAATAATCAAGAGCCCAACCTTATCCGTAAGTAGTGAAGACCTATCGCCAATTTGCCATCGCTGATTCTCCTGTGTTGTCGTTGTTCGAGAGCATTCGCCATCGCCGATTAGCCTTCCTCTTGAAGAGTCGTCAGTGTTTCAGTCCTCGATTAGGGTCCTCTTCATCGTCCTCGTCTACACGTCGTTACCCTAATCGTCGTCAAGAGTCGTCAGGTCTCAGGCCATTGCCGATTCGCCTCGCAGAGTGTCTCGCCCACTGCCCAGCGCCGAATCCCCCGCCTGAATTACTCAATCGCCGAGAGCCTGAGACGCTGACTCCCTCAATACCAATTGAATCAGGTAAGACTCATCTTGTCTCCTTCTCAAATACTGGAGTGTGGAGAGTTCTCTGTCGTATTTTTAACACTACTCCAAATGAAGAGCAAATCATTTATGAATAAAGAATCCACTGAAACAATGACTACTCAAAGTGTTTATCTGAATTCATCTTTAGAAGATTTGAATGTAGACTTGAGAACTTAAACAGAATCCATAAACCAATTAAAATCATTAGAAAATCACATTCAAATATCTATTGAAAACACAAGAACAGTATGATAAACAAGAAGCATTCATTCAAGGAAAAACACAAAATTAGATCCTGGAATTACATTTTGTAGTGTTTTGGTTGTATAAGATTTGAAAAATTCATATGAAAAAAAAAATTCGGTCTAATCGATCTATTCCGGTTCGGTCTAAGAGTTTTCGGTCCAGACCGGTCCAAGACCGACTGTGAATAGGTTCGGTCTTTGGTCCTATATTTTTCCAATTTCGGTCTTTGGTCCGGTCCGGTCTTGGACCGATGACCACCCCTATCTAAGGACATTTACTCTATACGCACCCAAACAATTCACAATAAAAATTTACAACATTTTCACTCTTTTTGAGCATCATTACAGGCTTTATTGAATGTTAAAGCACACTCAAACTCATCAACACAATAAATAATGGAAGAATAATACACATGTCTCTTTTTCCATTATCACACTGGATGGCAGCACCAAATCTCCCAGGGAAGCAGCAGTGCATCACTCATTCACTGGTCCTCATCCCCACAGCTGCCTATCAATTCAAATTTCATCATATAAATCTTTAAGATCAGTTCAAATTTCATCATATAAATCTTTAAGATCAGTGCAAATTTCATCATACTACGTATAAATCTTCAAGATCTGAAAATTTTGACAATTGAAAATTAGGGACAGAGCTGCATTAATATGAAAACACCACAAATTAGAATACAACAAGAATCAAACAAGTATTTCTAGATGAAAGAATTTGAACGTACCTTAGATACAAAAAGCATGCTAAAAATCCTTGATCTGAAAAAACAAGAGATCAATAATATAGGTGAACATCCTAGATCCGTAAAATAATGCACAGAGATTGTGTGGATGAAAGAAGAGAAAAAGGGATTGAAGAAGAGAATAACCCAAAACAGATTAAAGAAGAGAGAATGATAAGAGATTGAGGTGAAAGGATCAGAGAAATGAAGAAATGATACACGAGTAAAAGGATATAAAGGAATGAATTAATAATTGGGGGGGGGGGTAGTTTAGGAATTTTAACAATAAAAACTTACCTTAATTGGAAACAAGCAATTTATTTTGAGACGGACAAAAAAACAAGCAATATAAAATGGGACAGAGGGAGTAGCTAATAACTATGCCATGTGGAAAGCACTTGATTTCAGAAATAGCAATAAAACCATAGAGCATTAGATGCAATGCAATTGTAATGTTAAAGCAGCATTTTTAAAGTTTCCAAGAGTTCGACATATCTTCCTTGCATCCAAACGATTTTCCATGCATCAATACCTTGCTTCTAATGCGACAGGTTTACAACCAACTATAAGACTAAAGTGTTTCCTCTTTTATGTGTGCGAAACTCCCCATATTATAATACCTTAACATATTATTCAATATGTTAATATGAATTTTGGAACATCTATTTCAATACCTTAACATATTATTCAATTTGTTAATATGAATTACAATGTAAGGTAGAACAATAATGTGCTAAAAAAATATAGAGTTGAATAGTAGGAATGTTATTGAATGTATCTAAAAAACTAGAAGGTTGTGGTACTCATTCCACTCAAACAGAAAGGTTTTGTTAAGCTAAAATCTTGCAATTACTATAATAAGATTTAGAGTGCTTTGGATACATCCTAAAGTTTAAAAAGTTATGAATGTGGGGTTATGTGTGTGCAGATTAGAGGAGGTGGGTGGATATGGGTTTGATAATTCTATGTTGAATCTTACTGAATATTACCTGCAACTTTCCTCGGAGATTTAGTCGCCAGAATAATTGGTTTGAGAGCTTCTTTTCTTATCTTTCTAAAGTCCTTATATGGGCATTATAATAAGAATAGATTACTGGAATATAATACACACCCTCGCAGATTGTTGCTAAAGCTTACTGAAATATTTCCCACGTTTTTCTTATATGCAAATGTTATTTATTATTCTTTATAGCTCATGGCTTGTTCCAACTTTTGGCATTAAATAAATGAAAAATATCACGTTATGCACCAGGAAATAGTAAAAACCTGTTAATATACATATATTTTGTAAAAGAGACATGTGTCCCACACGCTATAGTGGGTACATGTGCGGCACGCTATAACATCGAAGTAGAAAAAGATAAAAGATTGAGCTTTTCCGTTCAGTATTTAGTTGACCATATATGTGATAAGACGGAAAAACAAGTCTCGTTTAAGAAGGCTGAGAGGTGGCTCAAAACGAGTGGCATTTGCCTCGAAGAGAGATGCAAGTTGGACAAATCTGAAAAGAGGATAGCAAAGGTAGACACTAGACACTTTAAAACTTGTTTGATAGAAAATTGTATCATTTTTACAATTTTAAAACAAAATTTTATCATACTTTCAATGCCTACCAACTTTCATATTATTAACGCAAAGACTCAAAATTTATGAGGCGGTCACAAATTTTAGCAATAGCCTTTAAGCACTAAATCGATTTAAACTATGTTATGTAATCAATTTTAGTTTATTTTGTTTATACTACACAAAATGCAGATAAATACTTTCTCATTTACTTATTGACTGAAATAGATATCCACAAACACTTTTTATTGTAAAAATTAGTAGATTCGACCATTTAATCTAACATACTTTTTGATTAGTGTAAGGGTCTTATTTGGTAGTGGCAGTTTAGATTAAATGGTTGAATCGACTAATTTTTACAATAAAAGTGTTTGTTGATATCTATTTCAGTCAATAAGTAAATGAGAAAGTATTTATCTGCATTTTATGTAGTATAAACAAAATAAACTAAAACTGATTACATAACATAGTTTTAATCGATTTAGTGCTCAAGGGCTATTGCTAAAATCTGTGACCGCCTCATCAATTTTGAGTGTTTGCGTTAATAATATGAAAGTTGGTAGACATTGAAAGTAAGATAAAATTTTGTTTTAAAAATGTAAAAATGATACAATTTTCTATCAAACAAGTTTTAAAGTGTCTAGTGTCTACCTTTGCTATCCTCTTTTCAGATTTGTCCAACTTGCATCTCTCTTCGAGGCAAATGCCACTCGTTTTGAGCCACCTCTCAGCCTTCTTAAACGAGACTTGTTTTTCCGTCTTATCACATATATGGTCAACTAAAAACTGAACGGAAAAGCTCAGACTTTTATCTTTTTCTACTTGGATGTTATAACGTGCCTCACATGTACCCACTATAGCGTGTGGGACACATGTCTCTCTTTTACAAAATATATGTATGTTAACAGGTTTTTACTATTTCCTGGTGCATAACGTGATATTTTTCATTTATTAAATGCCAAAAGTTGGCACAAGCCATGAGCTATACAGAATGATAAATAACATTTGCATATAAGAAAAACGCGGGAAATATTCCAGTAAGCTTTAGCAACAATCTGCGAGGGTGTGTATTATATTTCAGTAATCTATTCTTATTATAATGCCCATATAAGAACTTTAGAAAGATAAAAAAAGCTCTCAAAGCAGTGATTTTGGCGACTTTATCTCCTAGGAATCCCCTTGTTGCGAAAGGAATGTTGCAGGTAATATTTCAGTAATGTTCAACATAGAATTATCAAACCCATACCCACTCACCTCCTCTAATCTGCACACACAGCCCCAGATCCATAAGTTTTTAAACTTTTGGATGTATCCAAAGCACTCTAAATCTCAACATAGTAATTACAAGATATTAGCTTAACAAAGCCTTTCTCTTTGAGTTGGATGGGTACCACGACCTTTAGTTCTTTAGATACTTTCTATAACATTCCTATTGTTCAACTTTTTACTTTTTCTGCACATTATTGTTCTACCTTACATTGTAATTCATATTAGCATATTCAATAATGTGTTAAGGTATTGAAATAGATGTTTCAAAAATATTCGTACAACTTGAAACATGTAAGCAATTTTGTGAAAATCTTTTTAATGTTTGTTATTTATTTTAATCTAAAATACTTTTTAGGAAAATCTTTTTACAGTGTGTTATTTAGTTTACTTTGTCTTTAGGCCAAAAGATGGAAGCTCTTTGAAACACTTCTCCCTGCTCCAATTGCTGTGTTAATTGGGTTTATTATTCCAATGTTTGCTAGAAAAGTGAGATTTGAGGTCTTGTAAATTAGGGTAGATTGGTAACTATGAGTCCGTTAGTATAAAGGGGCTAGATACTTAGGGTGCGTGCTGCCACTTAGTGCCCTAGAAGCGTCGCGGGGACGAGAACGACAATAGACGACCGAGAACCATTGAGGACGCTTAGGATTTGCCGGTACTCTCAAGACAGAATCACAAAGTAGGGGATGCTCTAGATTCATATCCGGGGTTTGACCCTTTGACTCAACAACCCAACATGTTTTTCATTCTTTTTTGTGCGATTATTAGTTAATTAAGCATTGTTTTTTTAGAAATCACTTTAAGTAAGACTAAAACATAGAGAAAAGTATCAAAATCGGACTTTCATATTTTTTCTTGAAATAGAACTTCACACTCTAGTAATGTGACACTATACGTGTGCACATTACTATACTTTTTGGTAATGTAGATGATCATGTTTGGTAATGTAAATGCATTTTAAGTCTTATTTCGAGAATAAAAATATAGAAGTCCTATGTTGGTATATTTTCAATGTTTTAGTGCTATTTTGGTCTTTTCCCCTTGTTTTTTACATCAACAATTCTATATTTTGTATTCTGTTATTTTTTTGTTACCATATTCTTGGCATTTTTCCACCCTCGTACATGCATATGCCCGTGCCTATGCCCCAATGCAACTTAGCTATATACTTTATGAACTTACTGTTGTGGTTTTTACCAGAC